TAATTACAGAGAAACTGATTAAGGAAATTAGGTTGCCGTGTTTTCTAAAAAGAAATAATAAAAAAAGCACTTTTTGCTTTACAATAAATGCTTCTGTCAAAAACGCAGTTGTTCCTCAGTTCAAATTGCAGATGTTTGTATCTGCAGACTAAAAATGCAATAACTGGATCACTTTGCCACAGAGCCCTGTAGATCAAAACAAAAACACAACGAACTGGTACGTCTGGCGATCTTCCAAGCTGAAGGTTTTCTGACCTTACAAGAGATAAGATTTCCACAGGGGGAGTCTGAAACAGAATCTCCTCAGATGTTTTCACAAGTAAGAGCAGAGCTCTGACTGAGCTGCCAAATGTTCCAGCTGGCCTAAAACGATTACTTAATTATGTAATTTAAACACGTCTAAACACCAAAGATTAATTTCTGGAGGAACAGCAGATAGGTTTTGTTTTGCAATGTTCTCGTTAATGTAACAAAGTTTTTCATGACCTTTTCTGATGACTTCAATTAATTTTGCAGCAGATAAACAAACAAATAAACTAGGCTAGTATAGAGCTCTAGTACCCCCTCGTTTTATATTTCTCATATTTGTCCACAATGGTTGACTCTCATATTTCAAAGTGAGATCTGGAACAGATACACAAACAGCTCATGCCCTACATATGTCTTGCAGAGAAAGTGTTGGTCTTGTTATTTGTGTTCAAACATAACAAGGTTGAGAAGCTATAAAATAGTTTATATAGGAGATACACTGGAAATAAGTTCTATGTTGGATTTCGTTTGTACAAATACTGCTGTCAGGTAACGCAATTCATACTATTTTAAATTCCTAGTGACAAACAGAGAAAGTGTGCAAACCCTGTGTTGTTTTGAAACAAAAAAAGTGTTGTTGTTTTTTCTTTTCTGTAAATTCATTATGAATGCATGATCAAGTTTTCAGATCGGTCAGAAATTATAAAGAAATCAAATGAGGAGTGGTGGTGCAGAAGTTAGCTAAGGTGAGCCTGTGGTCAGGAGGTTGCAGGTTCAAATTCCTGGAACAAAACAAAAATTAGAGATAGCTCACTGGTCAGTGGTTGCATCAATCTTGTTCATTAAGTCTTTGTTCAAGTTCACTCACTTGAACTCTGAAGAAAGGAGCAGCCAAAAAAAGAAATCAGAAAGAGAAATTAGAAAAAAGAAAAAATATATATATAATTATTTATGATAAATGGGACTGGACAAAATTGCTATCGGCACATCAGACATTTCAAAAGTTGAAAAATTGAAGTCAGCTCCTAAAACTGCAGCTGATGCATTTTTCTGACAGCTGTTTATTTCTGTAACAATTCTATAAACAAAATGTAGACTTAGTCAGGATTAAACATTAGCTTCTTTCACAAAATATCTTCAGTCAGGACATGGATGCCTTCAGGCCACCTCTGTGGGATTTCTGAATGTGCCCAGGTGGCAAAGGGAGTTAAGTTATGTGCTTCTGTGCCACAAAGAGAGGTAGCAGGTAGCAGATCTGGACAAGATGTGAAAAGGTAAGCGATTTCACAGCTCAAAGATGTAATGAAGTGATGGTGTATGGGCTGTAGAGTCACCTGGTTGAGAGAGATTTATCACACAGAGAGGATGAATGATGCAGCAACTTTACATTAGGTTAATAAAAACAGTTTGAATTGATTTGTCCATCATTCTATCCATCCATCCATCCATTGTCTTTTACCCGCGTCTTCCTTTTTGGGTCACGGGGGTCGCTGGTGCCCATGTCCAGCAATCACTGTGCGAGGGGCGGGGTACACCCTGGACAGGTCTCCAGTCCATCACAGGGACACATAGAGACAAACGAGACAAACAACCATTCACTCTCTCACTCACACCTAGGGACAATTTAGAGTTACCAATCAGCCTAACATGCATGTTTTTGGTCTGTGGGAGGAAACCGAAAAACCCAGAGAAAACCCACACATGCACGGAAAGAACATGCAAACTCCACCCTGAAAGGCCTCCGGACTGGGATTTGAACTGGGGACCTGCTCGCTGAGAGGCAGCAACTCTACCAGTCGTGCCACCGTGCTGCTGCTGTTGAGCATAAAAATGTTATTAACTAACATGTTTTAAACACTGTATTATATTCCCACTGAAAAAAAACTAATTTTCAACAAATTGTTGACCAGAAGAACAAAACAAAAGACATCTAATCTCTCTCAAGTGTGTTTATCTGGAAATGACAGATACAGATTGCCCTAGTAGGCAATTATTATTATTATTATTACTATTTTTAAATTTTTTGCTTTTTAAATCTTCTTCTCTCCATCTTTCTTGTGACCCCTTATTGCCACCTGGCGGCCCCCCAGGGGGCTGCTGACCACACTTTGAAAAGCACTGATTTAAAGCAGGGCAGCACGGTGGCGCAACTGGTAGAGCTGCTGCCTCTCAGCAAGCAGGTCCTTGGTTCAAACCCCGGTCCAGGGGCCTTCTGTGTGGAGTTTGCATGTTCTCTCCGTGCATGCGTGGGTTTTCTCCGGGTACTCCGGTTTCCTCCCACAGACCAAAAACATGCATGTTAGGCTAATTGGTAACTCTAAATTGTCCCTAGGTGTGAGTGGGAGAGTGAATGGTTGTTTGTCTCGTTTGTCTCTATGTGTCCCTGTGATGGACTTGCGACCTGTCCAGGGTGTACCCCGCCCCTCGCACAGTAATTGCTGGGCATGGGCACCAGCGACCCCCGTGACCCAAAATGGAATAAACGGGTAAAGATAATGGATGGATGGATGGATGGATGGATGATCTAAAGCACTGATTATTCTTTGTAAATATATAGTAGAGCACTGTATGAATGGGTAAACATAGACTGTAGTGTAAAGTGCTTTATTTCGATAAGATAGAAAGGTGGTGCTAAATAAGTACAGTCCATTTACAATTTGTCCATGCAGCTGAGTTCTGCTCTTTGCTTCTGTGATGCTATTTTAATTCCTGAAAGCTCATGTTTGTGCAGGACATATAGCCAGCACCATCTGTGTTTTATGAACAGCCAGCATAAAGACAAACTATTCTTTGCGGCCATTTCACAGAACTGTTCTATAATACTGCTATTTTAATAGTAGAAAATGCAAGACATTATTTCCTAATTGTCAAATTGTCTCACTACTTACTAAGGTTGTAAAGCAGCCCTTGATCATAATTTCTTACTTGTGGTCCATTTGTTTTCTGCGGTCTCCAAGGTTTCACACCCAATTATCTCCTTAAAGTGATAAATGTGTGTTTTGTACGATGCTTCCAGATAATCACCTCTGCCTTTGATGATGGCAAATGAGCTTGGGTGAAAACATAGAAGAACGCTACACTTTTCCCACATGCAAATACATGTATACTAATATATTAGAGACAGGAAACAGCCATTGTTGTAAGTTAGTGCACGCCTTGCCTTGTGCAGTAATTTCACATAAACTTTGGGAATACTTCTTTTGTCATTTACCAAAAAAAAAAAAAAAAAAATCATCCTCATCACATTTGTCAAAAATATGTCAGCGTTTGTGGCATCAGAGGCAATAATGTTTGTGAAATGGGAGTTTGGTGGTATTACGCTATCTGTG